TCTTTGAGTCTTCTTTCTTTTTTTCTTAGCTAATCTGGCTAAAGATTTGTCAGTTTTATCTTTCATAAAACCTGTGTTATATTTCATTGATTTTTTGTATTACTTTTTGGTTCAATTTATTTATCTCTAATCTTTATTATTTCTTATCTTCTACTAATTTTGAGTTTTATTTACCCTTGCTTTTTAAGTTCTTTAAGATGTATTGTTAGGTTATTTATTTGAAGTGTTCTACTTTTTTGATATAGGCACTTACCACTATAAATTATCTTCTTAGTACTGCTTTTGCTGTGTCCTGTAGGTTTTGAAATGTTGTGTTTTCCTTTTCGTTTATTTCATTAATTACTTGTTTAATTTCATCATTGACTTGCTGGTTGTTTGGAAGTATATAGTTTAATTTATATGTTTTTGCATAGTATTCAAAATTCCTCTTGTTACTGATTTCAAGTTTTATTCCATTGCGGTCAGAGAAGATACTTATTTTGATTTCAATTTTTAAATGTTTTTACTTGTTTTGTTGCCTAACATATCTTTTTGTTTTTGTTTTTGTTTGTTGTTGTTGTTGTTTTGCTTTGTTTTGTTTTTGAGACGAAGTCTCACTCTGTCACCCAGGCTGGAGTGCAGTGGCACATCTCCACTCACTGCAAGCTCCCCCTCCCGGGTTCACGCCATTCTCCTGCCTCAGCCTCCCGCGTAGCTGGGGCTACAAGTGCCCGCCACAACGCCCGGCTACTTTTTTGTATTTTTTTACTAGAGACGGGGTTTCACCGCGTTAGCCAGGATGGTCTCGATCTCCTGACCTCGTGATCCTCCTGCCTCGGCCTCCCGAAGTGCTGGGATTACAGGTTTGAGCCACCACGCCCCGCCGCCTAACATATCTTCTGTCTTTGAGAATGTTCCATATACTGAGGAGAAGTGTGGTGTTTATGAAGGTGCATTCTTGTATGGATAGTTGTTCAATTCAGTGTTCCTGCAGTGGGTGACGATTGCTGGAGGGTTCTATTTGTCCATGTTACACCACCACTTCCAATACTTTCTTTTGTAAAAAAAAATTGGATTTCACATGCCTAGCATACATACCATTGTATATATCAGTATATGCGCCCTTGGGGAATCTGTAAATAATTAAAATGGCAGATTTCTGAAGTGAACTAAAGAACATACCAAATAGCCCCAGTGGATTGCAGCATTAGATAGATTTGAAATGCCTTTTAGGCTAATGAAGCATTCTTATTTTACCAAGATTAATGCAGGAAGTGTCCTTGTAGAAAATAAATTGGCAGACTTTTATAGGATCTGTTCCTTTGTGAGACCCACATTGTTTAAAGAAAAATCAACCTTATTTTGATCTCCAATATATATCTTTACAATGATGAGATAGAAAACCAAATTCATTTTAAAGGTTATTCCCTCTCTCAGATGATTCCTCAAAGCTCATTTTTTAAAGTTAAAAGTTTACTGTTTTTTAAGAAAATGTAAAAGATTCATTTTAAATCAGTTCAAGAGTTTAATACATGTGTGTACTATTATTCATATGATTCTATAGAAAATTGTTAAGTCAATTTTTTTTTTTTTTTAATGCATTGGGGATTCTAGCTGAATAATTGTTTCACGGATTAGTAACTTGCTTTAGGTAAATCCCTAAATTGAATTTCAATTTATGGTTCCATAAAGACAGACAAATTCTTTCAATTGTTCTTTCTTCAAATGATTTTCAAACTATCCTGATTATTTACTTTTCCAAATAACTCAGAGGACTGGGAAGGTCTTCTTGGTGATATTATTGTTAGTGATTAATTCTTCCTCTTTATTTTTTTTCGGAAATTATATCAGGGCAGGAGAAGGGAAATTATTTAGTTTATTCTGGCATAAAATTTTGCATGCCTTTTTAAAGAATTTTTTGTTCGTTAATCATCAATAATTCATATAAACATGGGAATGGGCCAACAACTTTCTATATTCAATGTTTACATCGCAGGAGATGAAGATATAATTGTTAAAAAATGGCTGGCACATAATATGTTCTTCACTTTGCATAATGTGGTCTGCAGTGAAGATCCAAGTTAACTCTGAGGACCTAAATCTCTCCTAGACTTCAGGCACGGCCCATCTCACTCTGTGCAATAGAATGCTGCCGAGACAACCTTAACATTTCCCTCAGCTTGCCTAAACTTTAGACAACATTTTTCTGACTATAGATCCCTGACCTCTCTTTTCTTACAGTATTTACTTAGGAAAACCAGACAACATTTTTCTGACTATAGGTCCCTGACCTCTCTTTTCTTACAGTATTTACTTAGGAAAACCTGTAGTAGTAAATTATTTCCCTGCATCTTTGAGATGTAGATCTTTTTCTACCCTTTTGTTAGTTTTACAATCCAGAAATGTCTGTCTCAAGATTCTGGGAGACATCCCTTTGACATGTAGTTATCAAGGAAGATAGTGTCCCTATCTCTCAGTCTCTCTGGGAGGGCAGGAGCCAAACTTCAATAAGAGCCAATAGCAACAACAAATGGCCTAATCACATTGATCAAGCTCCTTACTAATGTCCTTCAATACTTTTCCAATAGCGCATCTCAGTGCTTAAAAACTCATGTCTTGTTTTAATGGAGTTGAGTTTTAGCTCTCTCTCCTCTTGCAATAGTCTTGAATAAAGTCTTCCTGGCCCATCCAACTCATATAATATAATTTTTCTTCTACAAAAGCAGTAAGCCCACTGTATCACCTTGGTCATGACGATGCCTATGAACATTTTAAGAACAACACTTGGCCCCAGAAATTTGGTTAGTCCATCTTATATAAACTTACTTAGATGACAGATTAATATAAACAAAATTTATAGGGGATTATTAAAATGTTGTAAGTAGCATGAAAACTACTTGCACTAACTACAAAGTTCTCACGTGTAAATCAAGAGAAATGGGTGCATAAACTTTCTAAAAATTTAGTTTTATGCTGATATAAATCTGCTGTCTTTAAATTGCAATTGTTTCTAAATGTATTTGGACTACATTAGCATAAAATAAAAATGTGGGTTAAAGAAAGTTGAATGAGTTTTAGTAATACAGATCTACTCAGAGTATGCCATTAAGCATTGGAAATCTGTGAACTATAGTTTGAAATATTTTAAAAATGAATTTTTCCAGAGAACAATTTTAACAAAGAATATCTCTGAGGCCTGAGGTTCCTTGGAACATGTTGATCAATAACACTGAGCATTGTTTCTTAAATCTCGTTGATTATAAAAATTACATTAGAGCTTTTTTTTTTTACATAGAGCTTCCCTGTGACATAATCATACAGAACCAAAGATAATCAGTCTATTTCTCTTGTCTTTTCATTGTTTGTTTTTTAACTTATCAAAAGCCTTTGATGAAGTCAGTACATAATGGTTTGACATTTGAGAATCACCATGAAATAAACTTTTACATATTCAAATTCAAACATTTTACTGAAAATTTAGAGATTTTCTCTATTTTGAAAATTGTTTTATGAATTTGAGTCTTTCGTTGTAATGTTGTACTTCCATCTTCAAATCATTTCATTACTACCTCAATATAAATCTAATTAGTTGATGAATAATTTATGTGCTTCTTTCTAAATATCTCCTTGAAGGGGTTGCTTGAATCAAACCCTCTATAATATTCTTTCTTTTCTCCTCAAATGTGAAAACAAATGTCTCAAAATGTCTCCTGGAAAACTGTTCTGTTTTGGATTTTGGTGCCAACATATTAGCATTTACACCTGTATTTGTTCAATAAGAGACTTATAATTATGCAATTATAATTATAATAATTTTATCTTATAATGTTATTTTAATTAAAGTGGAATTCAATCACCACCAATCAGCCTATAAGTTTAATGGTATCACATAAATATATAGTACACATTTAGTAACTATGTCCTGCTTAAAATTGTGAGTTAACATAAAAAATGATCAAATCTATGTGGCTCAAAGAAAATATCTATATCACTTTATTTTATATATATTTTATATATATTATATATTATAATATACATATTATATATTATGGATGTAAATAAAGGATTATCGATGTAAAGGGATGAGTTAAAGCTAGTTTACAAATATGCTCTTTTGACAAACTTTTATATAGGAAAAAGCCTGTCTTATTTACTTTAGAAATTAGACAGACCAAATGTCCTTTTTAATACATATCCCAATGCTCATGCACCCACATATACATACCTCTCATGTTAACAAGTGATACCTTAATTATCTGTAACAACAACTTTATCACAGTTTGGAATATATTTCTTTTATGTAGAGTTCTTGCCCTTATTGTTTTTCTTCTTACGCTAATTTGTCATCTTGTGGCAGAATGCACTAAGCCTTGAACACTGGAGCAGAGTAAAATCTAAATAATAATTAGTAATTATTATTATTACTGTTGTTATTCTCACTGCCATTACTATTGTCATTCTAAATTTTCCTATATCAATAAATAACGCCAATAACAAAATCATATAAATCTTACAAATGTTCTAAGATTTTAAAAAATGTAGTTTATCACTGTACAATCTTACTGAAAGATAAAGAAATACAGAATATTCAATAATGGTAATAGTGTCTAATGGCAAAGAGGGGAAGAAGCCCATATTGCTCATGGTAAATTTGAGTTCACATCCTTGCCTTTTAAGCTCACTCCAGAGTCATTTTAACGTTTCTTGTTAATATCTCTCTTTTAAGTTTCCCTCAACTCACTGGTTTATTCAATAATTGGGTAGGTGACGTAGATGTTGACCTCATTATGTAGGTAGACATACAGGAAGACAGGTAGATATTATGCAGGTCGACACACAGGAAGCTCAGACATTTGGCATTGCTTAAAATGAATCTTTAATAGAGATTCTTTTTTTTTCTTCACAAAATTTAATTGCACGTTAACTCTACTACATAATCTCTCCAAACATTAGAATACAAAAAACAAAAAAAACAAAAACTGACTGGAGATTTTTCTCTCACTTCATTATTCTTTAAAATACAATTCGCTTCTCACTGCACTCAGATTTCAGATTTCTTAACAAAGACTTTCATCTATCTATCTTTCTAATTTTACTTTCGCCATTCCATTTTCACCATGGACCAACCCCCAGTGGTCTCCTTCTGGTAACTCCAACCAGATGCCCGTCCCCCACCAGCTCAAGCCTCCCCTCACCATCTTAACTAAAATTTACTGGTATGTTTTATTATTGTTTTCAATGTCCCTCCTCCAACATAATACATATTCTAAAATGGCAAGAACTGTTATTATCTTCTTAGGTTTACCAGCAGCATCTACAAAGAGAGAGAAGAATGTAGGTGTTAAATAAATATTTAATGCTGGGTTGAGTAGCAGAAGAGAGAACAGAAGTCATTATACAGAATGGCCAACCAACTCTTGGAAAGATGAGTGGGCCAGAAGAGTATCCTGAGAAGTTATGCTTAGTCTTAAGGAGCAGGTCTTAATAATTCAGTTACAGATAAGATGTAAAATATTGATTTAAAAATGAGAAAAATACAGAAATAGAAAGAATATGGGAAAGTACTGAGGAAAAAATAATCTATCCTCTGCCTTTTTAAAATTGCATTGCTGTAAAATGAATGCCGCCCTTATGGATTTCTTTCTTTTCTAATATATTTTCAATTTAGCATAATAGGTCATGTTTTGCACTGAAATTATATTAAAAAATCGGAATTCCTCATCAAGCCTATGAAATTAGTTGTATAGTTTTCTCATACATTGTCCATGTTTTCCACAAAATTTTGAAAAGTATTCATCACTCTAAAGAAGCCCTGTTTCAAAGCTGGTCTGTTTATTATACTCATATTGCAAATAAAAGTATAAAGTGTTTCATATGTATAGTCACATTATAAAATTCTGTAAAATTGATAAAACAGTGCAGATATAGCTAACTACAATTTTCAAGAGAAAAATACAAAACACTATGAAATAAACAAAATTAAAACTCTTGTCTGTGAACAGAAGTTAGTTTATAATGACTTAAAGCTAAATTAAAGTTTTATTTCCATGTTATTTCTACTATACTATATTACTGCTCATCATTAAGGATTTGAAATAGCTCTAGAACATACACAGTGGTAAGGAATTGAAAATTTACAAGTTAATATTTAAGTAGAGTACAAATCAGATGAAATTCTAACTACGAAGTGATCCTGGGGCAAGTGGCCAAGTTAGTATTCCATAAGGCTAAGAACTAAGAATAACTGGGATGTTTTCATGAAATCTTCTTTTGATATTTTTAAAGTAGATAAAAATGTGACTTTTAGATTTAAAAAATTAATTTCACATGGAATAACAATATCTTGACCAACATCTTAGATACATGAGAAGTTGGTTGGAACATAAAACACCTAACGATCTCAGTGTTCTTTGTTGATAATTTAGGCAGAGTACTTTTTAAAAAGGTTGTAAAAGCAACAGTGGGATGTGGGACTAGTTCAAAATAGCAGAATTTGAGGCTTAAACAATATTTCTGCCCATTGTCTGCTTTAAGATTATCTTCATAAAAGTCTACATATTGGGTACAGTGCAACACTGCTCAGTGTTGAGTGCATTAAAATTTCAGAATTTCCCACTACAAACTCATCTGTGTAACCAAAAACCACCTGTACTCTAAAAACTATTGAAATAAAAAAGAATAAGAAAATATCTTCAATCACCGTTATTTTTAGCTTTGTAATTATGTAAATTACCATGTATAGTAGGAAGAATGCTATGACAATAAAAAGATCAATGCGACTTTTGTCTTTGTCGTATACCCAGTGATGGTTTTCATTCATATTTTAGTATCAAAACATATACCTGAATAACAGTCTTTCACAAGACAGGACACTAGTTGATTTACTACAAAAACATCATAAACTATATATTTAATTTTAGGTCATGTGTTATTGGTTAAAAGCCATTTATTTATAGACTTGTGTGCTAAAATACTGCACTAAGTTTAATAGAAATTATTTTAAGAGAATATAATAGTGTTAAAAATCTGAATTGATTACTTACCATCGATCACATTAGTCAAAGATTAATGCCAATATCTATCAGATATGATTAAAGCCAAAGAAAGGAATGTGGGGTGAAGTAAAACAAGTAACAGAATGGTTGGGAAAAAAAGCGCCAATATTTTCTATCAAGATTTAAAAAATCAAAGACGATAAAGAAATCTGTTGCAGAAAAGTCAGAAACAAAACCAATTGAGACTTGATTTCACTTCTCATTTGTCCTACCTGCTCACATCTCAAACTCCGCAAAAGACTCATCCTTGGGGAGATGAGACCCAGGAGTATGCAAGTGGGAGAAGATATGGCTCAGCTGTTTGAGATGATGGCAGACAAAAAATAATTTTGGTTTTGAAAAAATGTCTTCAGAAAAATATGATGATGATGATGTTTATAATTGACATCTACTACAGGTTTTAATAACTAGCAGACATTGGGATAATTGAGCTGTACTCATTAGATTATGCCATTCTTGTAATTATATAATGAGATAGGTATATCCATTATCTCCTTTCTCCAGTGTAAAATGAAAAGTTCTATGAAAATAACTCTCCTTTTTCATAAATGTAGTAGGTGGAAAAGTAATCATTCCACACCAGACCTATTCAGTTCTAGAGCATGAGATGTTAAACCCAATACTATAGTAATATGTTTCATGTATGATCGAAGTCTGTGAAAAGCAATGCTTTGAGGAAAAAGAAAAAAGATTAATATTACTGTTCAGTGCTGAGTGTTTCCTAAGAATTAACATAGTATCAGAAGCTTTTTTCTATTTCTTTTCAAACTTTTGTTACATTTTACCTTATTACATAATTAATACAGGTTTGTCATCTCAGATATCACAGAAATATTATCTATGAAAATAGATACTTCCATTACTCATAAATCATGGAAAATATTCACTGTTAACTGCTAAATATTTCTCTAAAATTCTTGAGACCTAATATATTTCTGGAGTCAAATTTTTCAGATTTTAGAAAGCTAAGAAAAAGAAATAACAAACTCAATGAAATAGCAGTGAGGACTGGGTGACTACCACATTATTCAATGCAATATTACATTAGCAAACTATGTGCATATTTGAAGTAATTAAAATAATGACTACACATCAACTCATATCAACTTAGGTCAAGATTTCCTGCCAAATGAATTTGAAACTAGTTAGTTTTTGTCACCAAATACGTTATGAAAAAAAATTTAGACCACTATATATTTCAAAATTTCAGATAAATGACTATGAACATGCACTGTATATTTTTTCTGCAACTTGATCTTTTTCACTCAGTCTTTCTTAGAATACTTTTGTGGGAGTTATTAGAGAGAGATCCACATCATTCATTTTAATAGCTGTATATTATTCCAATTTATGGATGCATCATAGTTTATTGCTAGTGATAAAAATTAATTTTGGTTATTTGTCAAACTAATTTTGACCTCATTTATCTTTTCTATATTTTTCATCACCTATCATAATCTGTATGAACCATGGCTCAACTTAATTTTATTAAGCCACTTTCCTGGACATGTTTCTTGCACAATAATTCAAAAACTAATATTCACCCTAAAATGTGCTGTGTGATTTCACATGCCATTTTATGAAGAGTATTATTTTATAATAAATACAATACTACTTGAGGGCGGAGAGAGGGAGAAGTGATGGAATAGAAAAAAATTCTGTGGGGTACTACTCTTATCCCCTGGGTAACAAAATAATCTGCACAACAAACCCCCATGACACACAAGTTATCTATATAACAAACCTGCACATGTGCCCTTGAACCTAAAAGTTAAAAAAAAAATAAAAGTGTAACTAGTTTTAAAAACAAACAAACCAAAAAAAAGACACTTGAAAGCAAGAGATTTTTTTATTCTAATTGATTCTCTCTAAAATAGGTGTGTGGCTTAGGCTCCCTTAGAGTAAATAATTTCATCATTAAAATGGGAGGAGTTTAAATAACTGGTTTTTAAAAGTCTGCCTTTATAATGCAGTGTTCTCCTAAAGTTTTCGGAGTATTGGGCACAGAGAAAATAATAGTGTATCTTTGAGATATCTTGGGATAAATGGAAAACAATATGCTTGACAGCTCTGGCTGCCTCAGGACCTACTTCGGCACCCTAATAACCGAGAAGATCGACAGTCCTGACACAACAGTTGAGAATCTTTGCTGTGAAGTATTGGTGAAATCGATTTGGCTGCTTTGCAAGTGACTTTATCATATGAGCTCAGCTATAGACTTCAAAAATCAAAAGGCTTTTAAATTCCCCAGGAGTATCTGATCTTTGAAAGATGATTTGTAAGGAAGGCCATTTAGACATGAACTAGGTAGACACAAAAGTCCATGGTAGTTCCACAAAGTTTTTTGCTGTCTAGGCTGTTACTGTTGTGTTGCTTTCTTTTCTTCAGAATTTAGCTTTACTGAGTTGTGTAAGATGCTCATTTTTGGTGACCTTGCTGAAACTCCCAGAAGCAGAAGGCAAAATGTGGAGAACAGACATATCTACCTCCCTTAAAGGATGTTTTCCAGAAATTCTCACCTGAAGCTTTGTTTGCATCTCACTGGGCAGAGGTCAGACTTATTTCTGTTCTTCAAAAGATAGATTCAGAAATGCATGCGGTCTTGATCCCAAATGACCATGTCCCCAGTTAGAGTCTGTGGACTCCGTTAGTGTGGAAAATTCAGAGATGATATAAAATGGAACGAAATCTTGTTAGGAATGTAGTTGGTATACATAGCTCTGTAAGAAAAGGAGTGTATGCTTGACAATTCTTCAGTACAAATTGAGTTACAGATTACGTTACTTTAATTACAAATAAAGTCAGGAGTTCACACACTAGACATAGGTGTTTTATAGTCAAACCATGACTCTTGTACACGAGTGGTGAGCGGACTTCATCTGTTTACAATCTCTGAAATTCCATTCTATCATCTGTTAAGTAAATGAGTTGGACTACATAAACTTTATAGAATCTTCTAACTCTAGAATTCTAGACTTTGGGCAATATGAGGTGAATCAGCTATCACTAAAATGAAATATATGTGAATTATTTGTTCTTATTATTTTTTAATTTTAATTTAAAGTGCAGACTTTATTTGGAAAATGTTGTCCAAGATAATAATGGTTTTTGAAGGAAAGATATGATTTTCAATATTCTTTAAGCAAAGGAAATGACTTTTTGACCTTCTACAAGCAACTTAAAATATATATAAAGTTTCAAAAGCTTCAAATTTGTTAAAGACCATGCAAAAAGATCTAATGCTATAGAACAATTCTCTCAATTTAGCTTTTCAAAATATCATAACATTTTATCTCAAATGTGGTGCTTGATACATTTAAGAGTAGTTACAAATTCAAATGTTTTATTTTGCCTCTATTTCTTATTTGTACCAGGTGATAGATTCATTCAATTTCATATGCTTTGAAATTATTTGTGCAAATATGCAAGTTAAATGCCATTATACATTGTATATGTATATATTGTTATAGTGTTGCTAAAATAAAATAGTCAAGAGTTATATTAGCAATTCAGAGCAGCTACTTTTAAACTTACTGATTTAAAAATGTTTAAGTCTTTGTTTTCAGATTATTTGGATTAATCACCAGTGAGTACATCTGATTAGCCAAATTCGTTTGTAAATGAGTGATTATTTCCTTGCTAAATAACACAATTTTCATATTTGATTGTTAAAATACTTATTTTGACAAACTTAGAGTTTTTGAGATCACTTCTTCAGCTAATAAAATCCTGAGCTTGTGTTAGGCAGTCCAACAACCGAACTTCTATCTGCAAATCTATGGAAACTTCTGCCTCTGACACATTGCTTTGTCATACCCACACTCTGATCCCAAAGTTGTTAGATTTCTTCATCATACTCTCAGCTCTTCAATAATGAAGACCATCTTCCACCAAATATTCAGCACCTGTAAGATGGGCATAGAACCCCATGTGGGGGACATGGCGATGGTTCCTGTACAGTGCAGCATGAAGCTAATTGAGCTTCTGCAGGGTCGCCACCATGAAGAAATAAGTTGAGCCTGAGTGCTCAACTGTGACATGGGATCTGGGGTGAGTCTTGGGATCCAGGGTCTTGAGTCTTTGGAAGAATGTATTTGCAAGATTGCAACAGGCTGTGAATCAGAGCAACATCTTACAAGCTTTAGCTGCCAAAATAAAACATGCTAAACAAGTGGTAGAAAACTGTAAACAGAATGGAATCATCTGTTGTAATTTTTGAGCTCCTGGGTGCAACGTAACTGCCCTGCTGCAGGGCGATTTTTCTCTCTTTAAGGAAGAAAGTTGGCAGGAAAGAAGATAAGTTGAACTACAATTTTTAGAATGCCGACAAGTTAACAGTTATACTCTAAAGTGACGGTAAAGCATGGAATCTTTAAATATAAATTGAACACATAACACAGTTTCAAACTTAAGGGCCTAATTATCAGAAGTCACTGCAATAGATGCTCTCATTAGAAGAGAATGTTGACCTGTAGCCCAGAGGAAAATGTGTATTATTATTTAGTCCAGAGAACTTTCACAATAAAACAAAATTATTCTCCATCTTATGCTTTTGGGAGTCAACTTCATAACTTCTCACAGCTGCAAAGGTTTATAAGTTACCTAGTTTAGTGGATCCCAATCTTTTAGATTTCACACAACAGAGAAAGATTTTTGTTTCTTGCTTTTTTAAATTGCTATTTGTGCAATATTCTTAGTGAGGTGATTTACATTGAGATTGTCATGTGTATCATTGTATTAATAGAAGCCATTTTCGATATGAAAAAAACAAGCAAAAAAATCTTACTTTCACCATCATTTCATAAAAGGTAAAATACTTAACACAAAAATGTAAGAAATTATACATATCATCTAAGAAGTATTTTTACCATGAATCTAATAAATCTTCTAGACTTACTTCCAGGTTATAAGAAATACAGGGATAGAGGAACAAAGTGATTAGCACCGTGAGGGAACAATAAGAAAAATCCAGGAAAGAGGGCATTCTATAAGATGATGTGACCTGCATCCTTCAAAATGTGATTGTTATGGGGAGAATAAGTTTGAGGCACTGTTCTGGATTAAATGAAACCAAGGACAAAAGCAACCAATGATAATGCATAAATCTCAAATTTCTCTTGGTTCAGAGAAAAAATAGAAAGCTATAGAAGACATTATACAAAAAGTTAGACATAGAATTACCATATAACCTAACAATTCCACATCTAGATATATCTCAATGAGAAATGAAACATATGTCGAACTTAACGCTTTTAAAATATGACAAAAATTTTGCTATGCAAGTTAAATCTTGAAGTTTAAAAAAAAACAAAATAAATGTTAGGTACAAGTTGATAACATGATGTAAATATCAGTAATTTTGTCAGATGTGTTAATGGTATTTGGGTTATAAAAAATAACATCCTCATTTTTAGGAGACAACTGCTGACATATACTGACATTGAGTGCCATGATGTTGGTCAGCTCACATTTTATGGCTGAACCCACAAAACAAAATCTCTTTAAGGAAATATGATGGAAGGTTAATAATGGCTGTGTCTGGCAGGGGGATGTATGGATGTTCCTTATACACTTGACTCAACTTTGCTGGGTGATTGAAAAGTTTCATCATAACATGTTGGGAAAAATCAACAAAAAAATATTATCCAGAAATAAATAAATAAATACAGGACAGACGTAATCTCACAGAAAATAAAAGGATAGTACTTTAAGTATAATAGATTTAGCTTTATAAAAGTTTCACTTTTTAATCTTTTTGTTTTTCACTTTCTTATGGAATAGTGAAAACCCCTCGGTACACATCTGAGAACCAGAGTTGGAAACTCACTGTCCTGGAGAGGCTCCACATGTGGCAGTTGATGATAGGATGAGTTTGAGCATCATGCCCTTCTTTGGATTCTAATTCTGTGTTCTGTTGGCTTTCGCTCACAAAGTGATTTTGAACAAGTTGCTTAAATTTTGTGTTACTCAGTTTACCCATCCATATAAATTGGGTTGGTATTAATGTTGCCTATCACACAGAATTAAATGAGTTAATATTAGTACACATGTTGTAAAGTGTTTACAATAGTATTTGTTATGTAGTATGTGCTATGCATTTGTTAAATAATAAAATCCCATCTCTTTATGAAAATAAAGATAATAATGTAAAAGTTAAAAAATAAACATATACTGACCATTTTATGTATCCATTTCACTCCTAATTATTTGTGCAGGAAAAATAAATGCACGCCTTCATACAAAGGCCAGTACACAGATAACCCTGGTTTTATATTTTGTTTTTTTGTAGCATCCCCAAACTGGAAATAACCCATATGTCTATCCACAAGTGAACTAATAAACAAATTTGGTGAATTTTATCCAATGAAACAATATTTAGCAATAAAAAAGAATAAATTATATGTATATTTTACCTCAATTTTTAGAAGTGTACAAAGAAAAGATGAACTATTGTTACACACAAAACCGTGACTGAATCTCAAAATAATAATTATGCCAAGTGCAAGAAGCCAGAGAATGAGTGCACACTGTATGAGTCTACTAACGTAATATTTTAGGAAATGCACCAGTGTCAGGCCATCCTTTTGCTGCTATAAAGAAATACCTGAGACTGGGTAATTTGTAAACGAAAGAGGTTTGATTGACTCACAGTTCTGCAGCCTGTACAATCATGGTGCTGGGATCTGCCTAACTTCTGGGGAGACCTCAGGGAACTTTTATTTACGGCAGAAGCAGCAGCAGCAACAAGCATATCACGTGGCAAGATAGGGAGGAAGAGAGAGTGGGAGAGGTGTCACACAACTTTAAACAACCAGATCTCATATGAAATCATTCACTATTGTGAGGACATTATCAAGGGGATGGTGCTAACCATGTAGGAGAAATGTGTCTTCATGATATAGTCACCTCCCACCAGAGCCCATCTCCAATATTGGAGATTACATCTCAACATGAGATTTGTAGGAGACATTCAAACTATATTAATGATCAATAAAAGAAAATCAATAATAACGAAATAAAATCAATAGTGACAGAAAACATTTTTTTTGGGGGGAACAAGAAGCTGGTCAGGAAAGATAGGAGAAAGGAACTATCAAAGAACCGGAGGAAACTTTTGCTGATGTTGATTATGTTCATTTTCCATTGATTGGGTAATGATTTCAAATGCACACATGTATATACCTATAAAGAAAATTTATACATCGTATATGCATAACACATACACATCCTTTATCGAATTATAAAGTTTGCATACATATAGTTCACTATATGTCAATTATACTTTAATTAAGCTGATAAAAACAAATTGAGAAAATGTTCACTTAATTGCCATTTTTGAGAGTTCACTGAGATAAATCACTCATGTTAAATTTTTTAACCAGTTTTATTTTGTATATCTTGAGATGATAGTGAACAGTGTACTACTCAGATGAATGAGCAATTAGACTTAAAAATAGAGTAATTTATAAGTAGAGAAAGGGTTATTTCTTTACTTCATTTTCTACAAAGAAATTTGAAGCTGGGCTTATAGGTTTAAGTAGTTTCACAATTTATGCGATTTAATAGTAGGTCTCAAATTTTGATATTTTTATATAAGATTTTCCTAAAGAAGTTCATCTAGATGCAACATGTATAGATGTTTTGCCTCTTATCAGCAACCAACTATGCATAAATTCAACTAGCATTTTAGAGAGGTGTTAAAAGGGGTCTGATGAGCGTCCAGTATAATTTTATCTTAACAATGTGCTATTCGCATACTCTTAAATTTTAAAAGAGTGAATTTCTACCATAACTTCCACTTTTATAGGTCTTCACAAAACAGCCTATTAGCCTAAATCAAAGCATAAGTTAGATGGTTCTGTGAAAGTCCTGTCATAATTACTCAATATGTAAATACTGACATTAGCTAAGGAAGAGTGTGTGTGTGTGTGTGTGTGTGTGTATATACCATAATCTTTTATTCTAATTTATTTCCAGTAAATTTATAATGAGAGAAGTAGTCAGGAAAATGCCCCTAGAATTTCATTTTGATATGTAATGAAAATTACTAATCATTAAGTAAGTTAACATTTTCAAAGTGCTTAGAAAATTGCCTAGCATATACAAAACTATGTAAGTGTCTGACAAGAGAAAAGAAGAAAATAAATACTTTGAAAAGCATGATTGGATAATCACATATCCGTATTTCATGAAAATTACATGCTTTGGGTCTTCTGAGTATTGCAATCATCCATGCTCTCTTCTTCATATGTATAATTGGATTATTGGATTTTAAGGCCTGAAAAAAAGAGATAAAGAGAAAAAATATAATTTTCAACATTAGTGCGTTTACTCCATTTCTACTTTCTGTTCCTTCTCTCCTACTCGATGGATTGTCTCTGGTTCTGCCTCGTCACAAAGGAAGGGTCATATGGAAGATGCAAGAAATGATCTACTTAGCAGAGACAGTTAATCTGGTGTTAGTGTGCTTTGACTTTGAAAGATGTCCAAATACTGGTCCTTTCTCTCAAGACTTGCATATTTAGAATATTCATACCCATTTCCCCCTTTCTAAAATCACTCTTTATATCCAACCAACTGAACACTGTTTTCTCTCCTTCCTTCTCTCTTTGCACTCTTTCTTAGTGTGGAGGATGTAATTTCTGGATGGAACCTTTGGAAAATGTTCCATACTCAATTCTTGTCTGGGAAAGATTTAATTCTCCACTTACTTTTGGGGTAAATTAGAATGCATAATAAAACACTTCAGCCACTTCTTAACTAACTTTAATTAAATTAATGCTTCTTCTGGGACATTCTTTACTTACCTACTTCCATGCATGTCAATAAATATCAGTTGATTGTCATTCAACTCTAGTGATTTTACCAAATACTCTGTTCTTTTTTATTTTAAACACTTATTGTCTTACACTTCCCTTTTTCTTATTAAATAGTGCCACCAAGAGTGAATTTTTGAAGGAGCCTAGTAGAGGTCTTTATCTATGGGTCTTTAGCACTTTAAAATGGATTTGAAACGGAATTGTTTGAAATGATATTTTAGCATAACAAATGACTCTCCCATCCCATGCTTGTTTCTTCTCCCTACATTTCATGAAGATTCTTTCAGTTGGAGTCTCAGAGCAGAGCTCTTCAAGAAGGTGAGGGTCTCAGCCATGAGGCTGCATCTTTAGTCCCCTTTTGTGGGACTGACTCTGCCCATTCTGGACAGAGAAAATATGAATCTCGGGTCCTATCAGTGGGCATGCAATTCAGTCTCAATCAGCTTTTCTCCCTTAGACTTTCCTAGGTAAGACACACATACTCATTTTATCTTCTGCAAACTCCAGATAACACATGAGAACCTAAGTGGTTGTGTTGAAGGCGCCTTCACTTGGCTTAAGATGGCCAGTGTGCCTGCTCCTATCCTGTTGGACAAGGGAGAAGAACTAGACAGATATTCAGTAATGCACTCTCAAGAAATCCTCAACATGAATCCCTTCACAATCAGTGTTCCCCAGCCCTACAACCATGTTTGGCTTAAGTCTACTTAATGGTTGAGAGGCCCAGAAAGCCAAGGGCCACCCTGATGGCAAGTCCTCCATAGGCACTAAAATATTTCTCTTATAAAATAGGGATATTGATACCTAACTCTGTTTAATTATGGAACTTCAGCCCAAACTAAGATATTAAAACAGTCTCCTTTTAATTAAATTAAATGTGTAAATAATATAATGTTATTGTTACACAATGACACTTCTCACAGACATTTCTGAAAGCAAGTGCAATAGATTCTTTGATTATCTGCTTCAATAGATTTTTATAAATGACTTTGAAATCGAAGTCACTGATAAAGATTGCTCATCAAAGAAAAAAAATCATGCCATTTATCATCAAAAAAAGAAAAAGAATGAAAAATGTGTTATTTACATATGACATACTAAGATGAAACTAGTCTTTATTGTGGAAAGATTAAAGTTTTGGTCATGTCTTATAAACAAAAAAAAGTCTGAAAGATGAGTATTTAAAACTAAAGATTCATTCTTTCCTTGTCATAAGAGATTGAAAAATCATTCAATCTATACTGAATCCTCTTTAGCTCATTATTTTTGAGCCTGTTTTATGACTAGCCCTGGAGCGTTTTTATGGGAAATAGCTTATAGATGAAGAAAACATGTGTGTCTTATTTCTGAGAGTTCTTTTGTTGCCCTAATAAACCACCCCAAGGTGTCTGGGAAATTAAAATACTCTCATATTCAAACTGTAGCTCTTACTTGATTATTTTACTAAAATTCTATGTCAGATCACATCTGATTGTCCATTTGTAATATATAATTCCTGCATTAATATTCCATTCTTACACTGAGTGGCACTGTAGAGTGTGCATTTAGTTTTCTGTCATGTCTTAAAAAGCAACATAATTATTGTGTATAGAGTTTTTCATAGAAATTTTTCTTGTCGATCTAATTTCTGAAAGATTTTATTATTTTACTCATTTTAAAAGAGTTCGCAATGTTTCAGACCTCAGGATATAGTAACAGGGTATTTTTAGCATTTTAAAAATACCCATTTAGTATTTAGAAGCATTTTTCTAATCTTTACAAAGAAATTAGAAGATGCTTTGCTCAGCATTAATCTTTTCATATTTTCCCCATGTACTTATTTAATTTCATTATTGGAATCATTATTTAGTTTACCTTAGATGTTACCACAGTATTTTAGGAAAACTACTGTCATAAATATTGCCTTAGGTAGTAAGTAAATTAAAGCATGAAATCATATTTACACACCTAAGATGAGGTGTATAAGACATGGATGTTCTAAATTCTGTACAAATGTTTTAGGGCCAGTGCCATTAGCTTTATGTTATATTGCCTTCTTACTAAAATTTTAGTTCTTTGAGGAAGTAGAAAACTTCTCATTTTTTCCAGGTATGTTATATAAAATCCAGATTAGTATTTCAAAGACATCCAAAAATGCTGAGAGCACATAAGTCAGATTTAAAAGGGGTTACTGTATTTTAAAAAAAAATGAAGAACAGGTTCTTTACACAAGCTTTTGAATCAGATATACTTGGGTTCACAATTCTGACAATCCTTCTCTCACGTTTCCTTTTAATTTACTCACTGTATGACCTAGAGAAAGGTACTTAAATTTTCTGGGAACCGCATTTCTTATATTCACAATGGTATGAGACGATGTGAAGAAATAGGAAAGCTTTTACACGGTTGCTGGGAGTGTACATTAGTTCAACCACTGTGGAAGACAGTGTGGCGATTCCTCAAGGATCTAGAACTAGAAATACCATTTGACCCAGGATTCTCATTACTGGGTATATACCAAAAGGATTATAAATCATTCTACTATAAAGACATGTATGTTTGTTGCAGTACTGTTCACAAGAGCAAAGACTTGGAACCAACCCAAATGCTCATCAATGATAGACTGGATAAAGAAAATGTGGCACATATACACCATGGAATACTATGCAGCCATAAAAACGAATGAGTTCATGTTCTTCGCAGGGACATGGATGAAGCTGGAGACCATCATTCTCAGCAAACTAACACGGGAACAGAAAACCAAACACCACAGGTTATCACTTGTAGGTGGGAGTTGAACAATGAGAACACATGGACATAGGGAGGGGAACATCACACAAAGGGGCCTGTCACAGGGTCAGAGGCTAGGAGAGGGATAGCATTAGGAGAAATACCTAATGTAGATGACAGGTTGATGGGTGCAACAAACCACCATGGCACGCGTATACCTATGTAACAAACCTGCACATTCTGCACATGTATCCCAGAACTTAAAGTATAATAATAATAAAAATCCTTGTTTATGTATAAGTGCTGCTTTGATGATGGTATAAAACAAAATAGCTACAGACCAGTATGGTTTATAGAAGAGTATTTCTTAAACTTCCTTATGCATTCAAACCACCAGGGAGTTTTGGCAAAATGTTACTTTTTTAT